CTGCATCTGTATAGCTTGTTATTGTCAAATGGCCATGTTTAGAAAATAAAAATCCTCTACCTGGAGCTGATTTAAATATCTTATCTGATGCACAGCTTCTAAGTGAGACTCCCAAGTAAAGTGAGACTCCGCAAGGGTCAGCATTATGTGACTCATAAACATGTACTGACTCACTAAACTTATAGCATAGGCAATATCTGGTCTAGTATGGCAAGATAAATCAACCTCCCAACCAATCTCTGATACCTGCCAACATCAACTGGACTTCCCACTCTAGCTTGAAGCTTACGATTTGCTTCAATAGGTGATTCTCCAGGTTTACATCCCAACAAACCAGTTTCTTTAAAGAGATCAGGGATGTACTTTCTTTGAAAAAATAAAAATCCCTTTTTCTGATCTAACAACTTCTATCCCAAGGAAATATCTTAACTTTCCCAAATTTTTAATCTTAAACTCCCTAGCTAACAAACTTCTCAAGTGAGTCATTTCTTCTTCATTACTTCCAGTCATCACTATATCATCAACATAAACAATAAAACATAAGCAGATGGCCTCTTAACCTCATGAATGTTTAATGAACAAAGTATGATCAGCATGCACTCTGAATGTAACCGAACAAAGTATGATCAGCATCACTCTGAATGTACCCGAAAGAAAGCATAGCTTTACTAAACCTTTCAAACCATGCTCTTGGTGATTGCTTCAACCCATGTAATGACTTCTTCCGCTTGCAAACTTTTCCTCCAGTCTTGTCATCATCAAATCCATGAGGAATCTCCATATACACCTCTTCTTGCAAATCTCCATTTAGAAAAGCGTTTTTAACATCAAATTGATATAACTCCCAGTCAAGATTGGCTGCACAAAACAACAAAATTCTGATTGTGTTCATCTTGGCTAAAGGGGCATTTCCTTGTAATCGACTCCATAGGTCGGACTAAACCCTCTGGCTACCAATCTAGCCTTGTACCTCTCAATTGAATCATCTGCCTTATGTTAAACTGTGAACACCCATTTACATCCAATTGGCTTCTTTCCTGATGAAAGAATTACAACATCTCATGTCTCGTTTTTTGCCAAAGCTCTCATCTCCTCAACCATTGCAGTCTTCCATCTTGAGTCCTGTAATGCATCTTACCAATCCTGCGATATAGGAACAATAGAAACAGACAAAACGAAGGCTCTATAAAAAGGGGACAGAGCGTTATAGGAGATAAAATGGGAGATGGGATGTTTAGTGCATGTTCTAACTCCTTTTCTAAGAGCAATAGGAATATCAAGGTCATTGTCAAAAGGGCTAGAATCAAGATTAGGCTAGGAATCAAGATTCAGGATCAGAATCAACAGGGATTAAAGAAGGCTCACCCAAGTTCTTTTCTTCTGTTATTTTCAGGGCTTGAAATTGAGAGGGATGGTTGATCATAGTAATCATGCTCCATGGTTGTATCTGTATTTAGTCCGCTGTATGTAGGTTTTCGGAATCGGTCTATCCAATCTTCCTACAGGTTTGGGTGGTTGGTCTCTCTTTATCTGGTCTACAGAAATCTCCCCCAAAGAAAGGAATGTCATCCATCACCCTCCATTCTAATATTTCTCACCCTGAAGAGGTGGACTGGGAAGGAAAATAAGACTCAAATTCCCGAACATCCATACTCCTAATTGTATTTCCTAGAGTGAGAAATAAACACTTGTAGCCTTTTTGAGGTAGTTAGAGTAACCAAACAAACATACTTCAAGGCTCTAGAATTCTAATTTGCTTAGGACAATTCATGGATTGAACAAAACAAAACAACATCCAAAGACTTTAGAAGGTACAATATAAGAATTTTTCCATGAAGAAACCTCTAATTGGAGTTTTAAAATTTAAAGGTATAAGACGGCATACGGATTGATAAGTAAGCAGTAGTCAAAATAGCATCCACCCAATAATGTTTGAGAAGATTCATTTAGTGAACATAAAGAGACCTAGGCTACTTCCAGTAAATGCCTATTTTTCCTTTCAGTTTACTCCATTTTGTAGCACTAGTATTGCACAACTAGTTTGATGTATAACCACAATAGATCTAAATAGGTACGAAATCTGCATTCAATTTATTCAGTAACCATTATCAGTTTCTTAGGAGGATTTAAATGCGCATTCAATTGGGAGTACAAATCATTTTATGGAAGTTCTGAAAACACGAAAAACTTCATTTTTTTATTCATTCAAAATAAACCCAAGTCAATCTTTACAGTGCAAACAATCAAATAAATGTTTACAAACCATCTATAACAGAAAGAGAGACAGTTTAGTAGGACCCCATACATCGGAATAAAATAGTCAGCAAAATGAATCAAACTTTTATTATTAATTGGAGAATAAGAATGCATGGTGTGTTTGCAAGTTCACAAGTATTCACATACTGATGAATCAAAATCAAACTTAGCAAACAAAGTTGGGAAAAATAAACGTCCCTAAAATAGAAAAAGAAGAGATGTCTTAATCTCCTATGCCATTGAATAATTCATGGAAGCGATTTCTAGAAGTTCCTAACAAAGCTTGGACTGGTACCCGGATTTGAAAAAACGACAAATGTCATCCAACAGAGTATAGTCCCATCGGTGCAAGCAGCTACCACTGCCAATCGTTCTCCCCGTGTTCAGTTCCTGAAATATACAATGAGGAGGGTAAAAAGTTTACTTTTGCAATTAAGCGCTTTGTAATTAAAGCTAACAGTAACGGATAATTATTGGGAATCTAGGAAACATGAAGAACAGAGGAGAGTTTAGTATTGGAAGTACAAAGTCAATAGGACTTGCTACCAGCAATTTGTACGAAGGAGCCATCTGCCAAATTCGCGAATTTTTTCTGTGCCTTGATACTTAGATTATGGAGGAAAATATTTTATAAAGCCTGTTGTATGTTTAATTTTGCTTCCTGAATCTATTAACCAAGAGGGTTTTTGCGATTTTTGGCAAGAAAGGGTTAGAAAAGCATTCACCTAAATCAAACAATGTTAGGGCATGCAGTCTGAGTTGAGGAAGAATCAAGCTTGACAACAATCGTTTCTTGGATTTAATTTCCTTTTAGAAAATGCAACCAGCCAGTTAGATGCGTTCCTCAAATAAAGCTCCACTATCAGATATGTGCGCCTGTGGTCCAGAAGAAACTGGACCCGCTTCCCTCCATGCCCTTTAGTTGCGCGTCCATGTAATTTCCAACAGATACTCCTTAGTGGCTTGTTTCTCATCGGCAATAGTCACAAATATTTGATCTTCATCTTAAAAACAGCTTTTGGCCAAGCCTGTATCTGTTCTCTTACCAAGAATTAGCAAATTCAACCCTGCTTTATCAATTGCTAGATCTGCTGAAACCATAGCACTCCTCCTAGTCTACTCTTGTGTTACAAATGAGTTATGTTGTCCCAAGGATGGAAAAGGATCTCGTCCAAGACTTGGACTCGAATCTGATCATACTTGTATTTAGGCCAGCCAAAATCAACACTTTTCTACTTCAATCAACTTCTGAACTTGAATTGCCTCATTTTAGTACATTTTGGTTAAAGTCTTGGTAATAATCTAATCCTGTCATAACCCACCTAAAGTCAGTAAAATAACTGAGCGATAGTCAGGATCTCCTTTGCTTGTTCATGAACTTTCGCGCAATTCATACCTCTAAGCATAGTTATTCCAATTTGCAAGTAAAGTCTCTGTGAAGCAAGCCATCCCAATCTTCTTAATTTGGTATCAAGAAGTAAATATCCTTGTGAAATTGGTTGGCTGCACAAATGATAACAAGACATAATAGGGAGTTCCCTGATTTCTATTTGTTAACAAACTCGGAATATGTCGAAACTGGTGTTGGTGCTTCCACTGTTTAACGATACCCCCCGGCAAACCTTCCAGCCTCAATTGAATAGCAAACAGGACCGAGACCAAGCTAAATAATTTGTATCATTCTAACTTCACTTGGACTAATCTTGGAGTGAAGGTAATTTCTCTGAGGGAAAAACTACGTCTACCTTTTTTCCGTCAAGCCCATACTGTCATTCTAAAAAAAATTTGATAGGCTAATTCAAAAACTGGAACCGAAAATCACACAGGCAGCAATACATGGAGATGAAAATAAAAAAAAGGAGGCCAACACAAAGTCAAAACTGGGGACTAATTGACCCAGTGAGTCTGAGTCGTGGCCACCAAAAACAAGACCACCGGACCAAGGAATCATCGGCAAAAGTGTCCACCAGAAAAACAACCGCACGCGCAGCGCGGTGAAGAAAGGCCAGAAACTTCTTAGCCGGCGGCCGTGCGTCACACAACTTGTCAACTCGGCGACGATGGGATTTGACCGAAAGGCTAATCGGCGGTTGCTCCTTCTGAATGTGGGCAGTGATGACCAACTTCCTCTCCTAAGCGGCACTACTTGGAACTTCAAAACCTGGTTTTGCGGACAAAAACCCATTGCCGAAAATCACGGTGCAAGGCTCTGATACCATGTAGTTTGTGAAAAAGAGAAGTTTCTTATTTCTCTATATTGTGTTGTTATTATCCAATCTCTACTCTACAATATATATATATATATACAAAAAATTATTCCAATATAGGAACTGTAATCTAAATAGGAATAAACCTAAAATTAGGAAAGACCAATATTTACTTTTAATTTACAAATTTCAAGAATCTCAATCAGCAGTGAATTTGTTAATAAAACCTTTGCCCCATGGACATCATTCCTAGATAAGGATGATTTATAGAAATATGTTATTTTATTTGACATTTTTTGTTTTAGGTTTGTTTTATAATTATTTTCAACAATTTTATTGAAAAGATTTATGCATAAAATTTTGCAGTGCTGAAATTAAACCAAATGGTTGAGATGCAAGTGAAAAAAATACTATAAAAAGCATCATTAATATATAACAAGAAGATAAACAACACTCAATGAATTAAACAAAATTTGATTAGACCTGCACAAATCAATTTGTGGCTTTCTAGGCTAATCCATGGGAAAATTAAATTACCTATAAGGGAGATAGACATCTTCCCATAGACCTTGCCCTTTGCATGATTCTTTATCTTTTGCATAAGAAGCTATGCCCCTGTATATAAGGCCGTATGTGTTTACAATCACTTCAGAGACACTGCCTACAGGCTTCTAGTAAAATGTTTGTCATAGAGTTTCATTCAAATTTGTAACCTTTTGGAACAATGAAGCTCAGGTCCTCTATATTTTGTGTTGGTTTATCTCAAACTTCATATTATATGTATGTGTGTGTGTGTGGTGTGTGATATAGAGTTGAGATATTCAAAACTACTATCTTATTATATAAACCAGGGAGTTAGGTAGAATGGAAATTTTTTCGAAAAGAAAAAGAACAAGTACTTGTTTGATATTGACGGCACCAACACAAAGAGGACTTGTTCAAAATATATCGATATTGGTTTATTAGTTCCAAGAACCATAAATATCCCCAACTACATTTATGAATTATATTCCATTTTTGAAAAACCATATTTGGTGCACAATCATATCCAAGCATGGATTTCCTTGTTTCTTGCTTTCATTCCAATTAATTACAAAAATGGAAGGAAATTGTTGCAGATGCAATTACAACAATTTGCAGTTTAGTCTTCTATTTAGTAGTTCCCTATTTTATTTTTGATAGGGGATCCAACGAGTTAGTAGTCTTTTCTATTTAGTAATTTTCCTATTTTATGTATGATAGGAGACCTCCATTTAGTAGAATTTCATTTAATTTAACTTGTATCCCCTCTATAAATTGGAGCTTTAATCATTTAAAATAAAAACAAGCAGAATTATTTTTCAACTAAATGAGATATAGACTCTCGCTAACGAGTCTAAGGGTTAGAGCTCCTTTTCTACGAGCCTAAGGGGTAGGAGGTCCCTTTCAATGAAAGCTTCGCAATCTTTGAGCACACAATATGTCGAGGAAAGAATCAAAGCTAAAACAAAAGGCTTTGCTTTTGAATTAGATTTTATCGTTGACAGGCCCGTTGACGAGATCCTAGTTTGTGTGACCATATAGAAATGAAAAGGAACAAATATGATCCACCTTAACCTGTTAAGGAAGCTTTGATTACTGATTTGAACGCATTGCTTAACAATACGTGGTTGATTATAAATTTATAAACAAAACCCTGTTCACAAATGCTTGAATCCATCTTGTACTAAAATTTAAATTCAAAGAATCAAAAGACTTTCGAAATCTGAAAAAAAATGACATAAAACATTAAAACAAATAATCAGGACCAATCTATCATAGCTAAACAACCAGTAAGGGATATCAGAATTAACAATAGCTGCTCCATTTGTTTTCAAAAATAACTTAACAAAAAACATTTTTCCTAATTCCTGATGTATTGGGGTGTTTCATGAAAATTAGTCAATGAAAAAATATTTTTTTGGTCCAAAGGGAAACTAATGTATTTTAAAGGAAATTAATTTTTTCTTTTTTCAAAAAGGGAAACATTTTTCAAATATCGAAAACTTACATATTAATCTTATAAGCATACATTTAATTTAACACTAATCACTTTATAAGTCAACCATTATCGATCCACCGTTGATCACCGGTTCAATCAATGCCCACCACCACTTCTACCAGGAACTACCAAAATTTATCATTTTTATGCATTTCTTTCTTCATATTTTAAAAAAAAAGTTTTAAAGTAAAACTATTTCTATAATTCTAAGTATTTTTTACTCTTACAAATTAAGATTTTTAATAATTTTAACTAATTTTCCAAATGTTATATTACACACTTCACAGAAAAAGAAAATGTATGCAAAAATGTGTGAAAATGTTTGGGGAAATTTGACCGTTAATTCTTTTTAATATGAGGATATTTTATTGGAAAAGTTGAAATCCATGAGAAAATTATTTAATGGATGATTTAGAAACATTCAAAAAAAAATGGCACAATACTTTCAATGTTGAGTTTACTGAGGTTATATTAAAGTACAAATCATTTTTTGTGGCCCCTAAAATTTTTTTTTTTTTTTTTTTTTAAAAACGTTCTTATTTATCAAGAAATGCAATATTTTGAAAAGAAGTGCATGAATTGTTAGTGCAATCTTAAGTATTACAAAAGTATGGTTAAAGAATTCTCATGGAATTTTACTTTTTCCATCAAGTGTGAAAAAAAAGATAAAAGTTTTGGCTTTAAAAGTAGGACTATAGAGAAAATCAATGTTTAAGAAAGACTTAATAACAATAATGTGACAAGTTTAGGGACACTAAGGTAGATTTTTTCTACAATAGGCATGCCAGTTTGAATCTAAAATGATTTGAAAATTTGGGGGAGTTACTTTTGACATTTATTGAACAGCTTCAACAATAGTAAGTAAAACCAAAGGTAAGGATATGTTTAATATTGCTCAAACATCAATTTATTATGGAACAACAGGTATATAGATATAATTTATTCATGCATTAAATAATCATTAGATAATTAATATGCCACGCATTGAAACCGTAACTAGGGTAAATTAAAGGTGAAAAATACTTTCAAAAGGCCAAATTTATGATACATATATTATAGAAAATAAGAGCGTGGAGTGTGTGCAATGAGTAAAAAACCAATTCAAAAAAAAATGTGGAAAACACTTTGTGTATCATATTTTTTATTTGTGTTATATTTGAATGTATTTAAGCTTAGCTTTGATGCCACAATATTATTATGTCCTAGGGACATTCTTGTTAAATTATCAATTTTCTTGTATTTTTATCAACTGGAACTTAATTTTATTAATGAAAAAGTCTGTGAGGGTTTTAATTTTGAGAAAAATTGATGTCTCTTGGTTTGAAAACAGTGGAAAAACCTCAGCGGGAAGAATGTGTGATTCACAAAAATTCTTAGATGGCCACCACTGTGTTTCAAGATTATGTGGATTTCTCTGTTGGTGTTCATTTAGTTATGATTTCAAGTATTGACGGGGGGGGTGGCCATTGTTCTTTGGTGGTGATGTTTTTTCTTGTTTTTTGTGTTTTCTTTAAACATTAGGCAGGAGGATATCTTATGCTCCAAGCAATAATTTTTCTTTTCATCAAATTAGAATCTTGAACTGAAGTTTTAAGCAATTTAGAACTATTAGGATAGCAATAAAGATGATATCTTTCTCAATAAATGAGGAATATGTATTACACTCACTTTGAAAACAATTCCTCGCATTACAAACCAGGCCTTGCAGAAAGCACTTCTGGTCTTCTAGAAGAAAAAAAAAAAAAAAACAAAAACGATACAAAGGCCATAAGGCAGGCATTTTACTCTTTCAGAAAAGGGTAAATTTTACTATTACCCCTAAGGTTTCCCCTTAATATACACTTCATCCTTATTGTTTCAAATTCAAAAATGGTGTATATTAGAGTTAAATCTCAGGAGTAAAAGGTTATATTTAGGGTAAAAACCCTTAGGGGTATTAGTAATTTACCTTCAGAAAAATTAATTCAAGATATGCAAAAGCAAGATTAACTTACAAAACTCAGCCCATTTAAGACTCTTAAAAAACCTAGGCAAGAAATCATGGTAAACGGAAACAATTAGCAACGTTAACATCATGATGCATTAGATATGTCACTTCCTCCTTTGGTCAATACCATTACCTTCATTACACATGTCCACCACAAAAAAAGACATTTCTTTTATCAAGTTTTGTAACACCATTGCTGTTTAGAGATTATTGCAATTTTTTTTTCCCTCCAAATGCTAATTTCTATTCCATTAACCCTGTTCATTCTTTTATTGCTTATCCTTAAAAAAGATGTTTAAAAAAACCTTAGCTTTACTAGACCAGAAAAGGATATCAAATTAAGTTGCAAAAGATTTGCCAAGGACTGCAATGCCCAGGTGAGTGGATATATTATAAAAACCCTATCTCTCAACGCGACAATCATCGTAGACGAGACACTGACACCCATAACATAATGACAACAATAAATATCAATGCCATATCCACTCTCAAAATGACGCTGAGCATGAATGGTATAGAATCCGATGAAAAAGAACGGCCCTGGCGAGCAGAAAGCGATCAATGCACCAAAGAAAGAATGAATCAAACGGTATAGATAACCAACGAAGATAGACTACTATCGACATGACAGTTCTAAGGAAACAACAAAAAGTTATTTTTTGATTAATCTCTTTGAATAAGGAAGATCAATTATACACATCAAAATCAGGACCCCCAGAGGTAATAAAAGCGAGGGCATTAGAAATATCAAGCAGGAAAACCATGCACCTTGTAACATTATTTCAATCAGATATTGCCATGTATGTGCAAGCTCAGTGCCTACATGCGGTTAGAAAGTACTTTCACTAAGAAATTGAAAACAAAGATGCCAAATGACTGGAGAAACAACACCTTAGTTCCCATAACAAGTGTGACATCCAAAGTTTGTAGAACTACACAAATGATAAACTTACTGATTCTATTCATCCCGGGGTAAATTGTATAATATTAATTTAGATTTCCCATCATGGTACCAAAAGATTGATTTAACTACAATTTAAGACACTTCAAGATTTAAAATTTTTGCTTCAATCAGTTCAATCAAAATAGTTTTTGTGCAATCAAAGCGAATTCAATGCTGCCATGTTCAAATTAAACAATTTTTTTAAGCTCAAACTAGACCGTTTGGGACCCATACACCCAAACTTTATTTTAAATTTCTCTTCCTAATTACCTCAATTTATCCCTCCTAGTCAACTAATTCGATCGTGTGGGTCTCAAAATAATTTCAATATTAAGCTAAAAAATATTCAATATTAGTATACCACATCTGCATTCCAATCGCTCTACCTCATGAAGCATCAAATTAACTTGATTAAAACTTTATTTGGAGCAAAATTAAACTTTTAAGTGGCTTAACTGTAACAAATTAATTTTTGTTTTTACTATAGTTAGAATCTAAGTCCATATTTACCTCTGGTACAATTTAGTGGACCAAACCCTGCTACCAAGATTTTGGAAGTGAGAGATTGAAAAAAATTAAAGGTGTAAACACTAGAGTATCTTAAAAACCAATTTGCAACAATTGACAA